GGTGCCCACAATAGGGTGGGGTGGGCATAATGGGTCCAAACCTCAGGTCTGAATTCCTAGGTTCCCTGCAGCCACAGGTTCACATTCCGGCCCTTCTGCATTTGGAGGTGGATAAGCTGAGTTCTGAGCCAGTTACTTTTAGGTGAGACCTTGAACCGAGTTCTGGCTGGTCTGTTTGGGTCTTGAGCACGGGGTCCTTCCGTAAGGTTATGGTCTTGGGACCCCAGTGAAATCCTTGGGCTGGAGAGAGTTCACGCTGCAGGACCCTCAGAGGCAGATCGTAGTATTGCAATCCTGGCAGCATTGAGTGCAGGTACATGGCGAAGAGGAACAGACGTTCAAAGAAGAGTTTCTCAGGGTACGTCTATACTTACCTCCGGGTTCGGCGGTAAGCAATCGATCTTCTGGGATCGATTTATCGCGTCTTGTCTAGACGCCATAAATCAATCCCGGAAGTGCTCGCCGTCGACGCCGGTACTCCTGCTCCGTGAGAGGAGTAGGCGGAGTCAACGGGGGAGCCTGCCTGCCGCGTGTGGACCTTTGGTATGTGCCTTTAAGTTCGAACTAAGGTACTTCGACTTCAGCTACATCATTCACGTAGCTGAAGTTGCGTATCTTAGTTCGAACTGGGGGGTTAGTGTGGACCAGCCCTTGGTATATGAAGAGACACAAACATTCAGACAGCTTCAGCTGGGCCAGGCCAGTGCATTAGCTGCAGCTTCTGGGGGTATTTGGCCGTGATATGTGCGAGGGAGGCTGAGCGGCGATGGAGCACATGGCCGAAAGCACTGCAGTCTCTAACCTAAAAACCCGGCAGTCTAAACGGAGTATGTTCTGAGGCTGTCTCCCTGGGGGAACTGCATCCCACACCGTTAATGGGTTAGGCTCAGCCCATTCGGTACAGCTTCTAACCTCTCACTTTCTCTTCTCACCACTAGCTGGAGAGGAGCTGGCCTCTGCCCTGGCTTCCAAGAGCGAGACTGATATTTCCCCTCCCCCATGCCTGTCCCAAATGTCACTGGTGGCTTTAGTTAAAATACTAAATTTTGACACATGACTGCTGGCCAGAGATGCTCTGATGAGGCAGGAGAGTATCTCAACCCATGAAATCCGTGAGAACAAACGAACAGCTTTTCTTCCGGAATCATTTGATTCTTGCTGGCCCCTGCTCGGTATCCTGCAGGTGGAGTTTGCCAATCCCAGTTACCTGCTGCCAGCTCCTCCCTCACAACCTGTCAGGTTTCTGGGGAGCAGAGCTGGAATTTTAAAGCCTCGAGGAACGAGGCAAAGGGTTTAGGACTCTGTATCATGGGGACACTGAGCTTCTCTTCAGGGCGAAACTGAGCTACCGTGTCCAACGGGGCTTGGCCAAGCTGTCTGGCATCTGGCAGGATGGCCACTCAAAGAACGGCACAGAAAAGCGTAACATGAGCGCGGGCAGCTGGTCCTGCTGCAGATTTACAGGGCAAACCTGTGGAGTCCCTGGCATGAATCTGTGGCCCAGATGCCGTGGTGGAGGCTGCAGTTCTCTCCTGGGGCTAGCGTTTCCCTTTAGACGGGCCAGTGCAGGTGTAAGCAACTCTTGCTTTTGTCAAACATGCTGCTGCTTTCTTCCCAGCTAGCCTCAAGCACTTCTAAATGTGTGGGATGGGGGCAGACTGTTTCCTGTGGGTGGGTGGGGAGGAATGTCCTGGCTGCAGGTTGGTGATCACTGCACTGTGTAGGTGTTACCCCTGCCTCTTAAGAGGATTTGATGCAAGAGCCAACTAGAGATTTGTCCCAGCCCAGACAGTGCTGGTGAAACAGGAGGCTGACCTTCCAGCCCCTGCATTGTTCATGGGTGTAGTAGGGTTCATTACACAACAGGTGTACAGCCCAGAGCCGGATGTCAGGAAAACTTGTATTCCGACCTTCTTGATGGTGCTGTGGCTAGAGAGGGACAGAGCAACTGGCACAGGGGCCGGGGTGAAATGTGAGCCTACGCTGCTGCGTCCCACCACTGCCCGTCTGTCAGCCATCCAGTGAGCCCTAGCGGTAAACCAAGGCTAAAATGGCTGGGTACTTTAGCTGGCATCTGCTACCGTTCCCTCTCACCTCTGGAAATGCCTTCTGCTAGGGCCAGAGGGTGCCTGCACGCTCAAGCTGGGACTCCCGAGAGCTGGCTCGGGAGGGGTCCGATAAACGTGACTCTGTGTTTTCAGATTCGGAGGTCTCGCTTCTGGCACATAGCATGGTCTTACTGTCCACCAACTACCTCGGGGCCAAGGAGTGACGGCACAGGCACCGACGTCAACAGTCAACCTCTTTCTAGTGCTGGTGGTTGCAGCAGGGTAGTGTTTTTTTTGCTCGCATTGCAGGACGAGGGCTGGACTCTAGCGAGAAACACCTTGCTCTTTGCCTGCTGATCTAGCTCTAAACTGTACAGCATCGAAGAGTAAAACCCTTCCTCAGCGGAGTGCTGCAAGCATATTTACCTTAGACACACCGTCAAATCCCCGAGAGCAAGAACCTGCTGTGGCTCCCAGTCACTGGGTGGTAGATTCCATGGTTTTTGAATGTGTAAGACTGGCCCTTGCTGGGGGTGGGAACGATCCTGCAATTCTGAGCCCCGCAGACTCCCATGCTCTTCCCTGTCATTTTCCAAAAGAGACCGTGCTGGGACACAGCCAGGAGCCCGGCTGTGCTATTATAGCTTCAAACGGTGGCACTTTAAATGTAATCCTGTCCAGGGGAGAGCGCTACTCTTCCCTGGATTTGTAAGCTTCCCCTGGGAGGCTCCCACTGGTAACTTAGAGCAGTGGGCATTACCTAGCTAGGTTCCTTGCTGCTCCAGGACCGGTGAAGAGACACCAGGCCGGAGCAGTGCTCTTTGTTGTTTTTCCTGTTAAGTTGTTATGACTTTATTTACTATGTTGTTTTAGGAATAAGGTGAATTTTACTAGGAGGGGCTGTGGGTGGAGCACCCTAGTTCCCAGGGGCTTTATAAGTGACCTTGCCCCTTTGGCCAGTGATATGCCTTAATGTTGAGGATCCCTGTGTTTGTTCAGTTGTCTTTTTAGTTCACAGCAGCACCCTGTTAATGCTTAAACTGTGACTGTTCTTCTCTGCCCTAGCTGACTGCTGGAAAGATGCAGGCCAGATCGGAACAGTCACCACTTTCAGACTTGGCCACTCAGTCAGTCAGCCTGATTTTCAGTTTCCGAGCCTCTACTGATTTCAGGGGAAGCTGCAGGAGCTGTGGGCGCTGAGCCCCGCTGAGGCTCAGGCCACTCTGAAAATGCTGGCCTAGAGCCCACTGCCATAGAAATAAATGCTAAGCAGCACTTGCCTGTTAAGAACGGGCTCAGCTTCATTTGGTCAATGAAGTGATTTAAGTTCTGCCTAATCAGCTTTTAGACTTGAACTTTCTGCTCAGTGGGAGGATTTGGGAGCCAGAAGTTTGGCCAACTGGAGCTCCACCGCTGTGCATCTGAATGTCTCGTGGCAGAGGCGGCAAGTTGAGTTTAAGGGATTTTTTAAAAAGTTACTTATAAACTAGTGTCTTAAGTTATTTATGGCGGTAAAAATGCATGAAATGTCTGTCTTAAATCTGTGGTACCCTTACATAACTATTCCATTAAAGACAACAGCTAAGGAAAGGTCTCTGGTGCATTTTTACAATTAGAGTCTGTGTGAGGTGTCCAATTAGTCTCCCAGCACCTGGAACTCTGATTAAGATAGCTGGGACGGGAGCCCTGCGCTCAGATTTTAAAGCAGCATGATGACATGTCGAGGACGACCCATAGGATGTCGCCCCATAGGATCAAGCGAGCTGTTAAAGCCCCACTATTCATAGACTATGTCCCATTAATAAACCAGAGGGTATTAAGCTGCAGTCTGAGTAAACAGCCTTTGTTTGTCTAGCTGGAAATATTAGCAGGCCTTCAGCATAGACAGAGCCCACACGGCGATTCCTAGAGGTGTGCAATGGTTACTTCACTTCTCTAATCTGCTTGAATTAGGGTCAAACAGGCCTCAGCAGGAGTCCCTACCCAGTGGCTCAGGGGTAGCCTCACCCCAACTAGTTTAAACCATATGCTTTTATCCCCTTTGAGATGGGAACACAAGGCCCAGGATGCAAGTTTGAGCATTTATTTATTTTTACACTTAAATATTCTCTTTAAATACAGCATTATCACAATGAAAAGAACCTAAAAGGTCAAAAAAAAAAAAAAAAATGCAGAGGACCTGACAAGCTTTGGATTCACATTGAAAATTCCACCTGTATACAGTGTGTGAAAGGAGACTGGAGAAGTCAGAAGTAGCGAAGTCACTATTTAAATAGGAAGAGGAGCTGGGGCTAGAACCAAAATGTCTCAGAACGGGAACAGGCAACAGCTCAATAGCACCAGTAGTGAGATGGGCTGTTGGGTTTACTACATGGCTAACAAAAGAGGTTTAGGAGGAGACAGTGCGGTACCAGCATTAGTGTCACACAGTGTGTGTGGGGAAGGGGGGAGGGAAAAGGCCAAAATGCATGTTCCTGTTACCTTTGTAAAAATAGATTAAATCCTATTAGTTCTTTGCTTAGTGTGAGAGCCCCCATCCTAACTGCTGCCCTAGGATTCTTCTGTAATTGCATTTAAAGCAGTCCAGCCTCTGGTCATCCTGTGTATTTCCACATCACCAGAAGGCCCCAGCCTAGATTCAGTTGCTTCTATAGCAGCGCAGGGCTTGGATACAAATCAAGAAGGGAACTTTAGTATCAAAGATTTTACCTATTAAATGTCACCAGGCAGAACCACTCACTTTCTTTCCCTCGCAGAGGAGAGCTGCCCTGTTTCTCATAGGAGCAGACCGCATGCCCAAAGCCCCTACAGATACATGGAGGAGTCAGTCTGGCAAATGGCCAATCCACAGTTACTCAACACCTGATCCACACACACAGCCAGGTCAGCTAACTGTGTGAAGTGAAGGGAGTTGTCCTACTGGTGCAGGTGACGATTATTCCACGGGGGACTGGGGGGGAGGAGGGGCGAGAGCTTTTGTCTTTACCTGTGGGTTCAACTACCCTCTTCCTACTCCCTGGCAGCACCATCTTGGAATGTTGGGGGTGGGGAGAATTCTCCCTGCTAAATGCTTCAAAGGGATCTGCTAGGAAACGTGTGAACCGTTCATTCCAGTCTCAAGCGCACGTTCTGCTGGTTACAGTTCGGCCAAGGGATGAAGCTTAAAGCGCTCAGTAGCATAAGAAGCTCCGTTGCTGTCCTACTGCACGAATGACTTTTAAAGCCTTTGTGTCTTGCTGTCCCAGAGGAAGGGGACTGGCTGTGGAATTAAGGCAACAAAAACGGGGGGAGGGCATTTGGGCTGTCTACAGGAGATGCCCAGCTGTGGCAGCACCAAGTGCAGGATTCAGCAGCCTGTTTAGGGACCCACTTTTGAAAGGACAGCTGCCCTGGGGGTGGGCCAGACAGCTCCATCTATTCTACGGCACCCAACTTTATAGCTCAGAGTGTGGAATTTGGAAATAGAGAATTTAGTGATTTCATTTGTGCCCCTCCCCCCGGTAACAAACCCGGGAGAGAAGAAACATCAGCACCTGCACCAGTGTGAGCTGTTCTTGTCCATTTCTCACAGTCATGGTGATGGGGTTGTGGCTATAGCCCCAGCAGGCAGGCAATGGGGCTGCGTGGTTGATGTTTAAGGATACATGGACACTGAGGCCAGAGGAGGTTCACAGTCTAAACCACAGCGGAAAAGCTAGTTTGCTGAACACAACCGTCACTTCTAACTGCTCACTGCGCCAGGAAGAAGTCAGGCAGCCAGTGGATCTTAAATACCAGTCACCAAAACCCAGTGGGCTCACGAACCCTGTTCACCCTAGAGATCCAGCAAGGTGTTAACATGTGGTCAACCCACCATCGACTACTTCGTATCCTTCCAGCACAAATAAGTGCTGTAGCTACTTACTATGGGAGGGGAAACTCTTAAGAAATCTGTAATGGAAGAGAGTGAAATGGACGAGATTGTAGCGGCAGCCTAGCAGGCTCCACGCGTCTGAAAGAGACGGGAAAAGGTATTTCTGCTCTCCGCAGAAGTTTAGTGCTGCAGTCGTGCTGGGTCCTGGCCCTTTAGAAAGTACAGTGCAGAGAAATACAACTGGGTCCTGGATGTGATCTCCTTGGGCCAGGAGAATGAGGGGACTCAGGAAGGGGTCTGTACCAGCTTTTTATCACAGAAGGAAAGATGCCTGTGAGGTTAGGGAGAAAAGTGCTTTCGCTACCTGCCTGGAAGGCAGGGTTGATGGGCTGTTCGGACAGAAATTGTGGCAGTTTTGAGAAGATTGAGTCTTTCCCCCTGAGTCTGGGGGAAATGCTGTGGCTTATTAGAATGATGATTATGTGCCTCCCTGCACCAGGCTGGGATGCAAGCCCAGAGCACAGCACCTTCTCTGCCACCAACATATTGCACCTTTGCAATCTCTGCTGAATTCACAGACAGCCCTAGTAGGGAAAGGGCCAATTTCTTCCAAGGACTGAAATAGCTGCTGCCCACCCAGTCACCCAAGGCTGCAATTCCATTGCATGCAAACCTCTCGCCCTCCAGTTTAGACTGAGCCAGGACAGAGGGTTGCTATTAAGTGACTGGGTGGCAGGAAGTTTTTTTTAGGTGAGCGCGTGGATCATGTTCTTGGTCCTCCCCCTCCCCACTCCACTTCCTGTGCAATTAAAACAGAAAACATTGACATGATTAGGAACCAGTCAGGTGGCATCTCCCCCTCCCCCACATCTCCACCAGGTTACCAGTCTTTACCATCCAACGTTCAGACTTCCACAGAGAAGATCAAGTCCATTGGAGTAGCCCAGGTCCAAAGAGGGAGCTCCCAAAAGGGTTTGCCACAGCCCAGCACAGGGACTGTAGTGTCAGTTACAGGCAATGGGTCACAGAATGGCCCAGTAAACATTCAGCACATTAAAAAAAAAAAAAAAAAAAAAGGCTTAAAAAAAAAATGAATGGATTCCATCAAGCCCATAATGGGCAGGTGATGCAGTGCTGGGAGGCAGTAAGGGGGGGCCAGGACAAAGCTACTGATGAGCAGGATACTCTAAGCTGGGTGCTGGTTTATAAAATGGTTGCATGCCGAAAGAGGAAACGTAACCCGTCGTGGAGAATGATTGATCCACAGAAAGCCATCTCTTCGGGGCAGGGTAAGGGTGGCAGCTACCGGGGGGGAGCGCAGAGAGCCCAGGCTGTTCCGCTGCTGGGGTGGGGTTCAGACAGGAGGTTCCAAGGGCAACTGCTGAAGCAGACAGCCTGGTAGGAATGTTGTCAGTTTCACCTAGGAGGAGAAGCAGGATGGAGACTCTGCCACACAAACACGTTCGAGATCACGGGGGGGGGGCACGCAACCACGGAAAGGCGTCCCTGCTGCCCCACAGGCCAAGTCCGGTGCTCGAAGGGGAGGAACAGGAGGCAGTTTCGCACTATTGCTTATAGGAGACAGACACAGATTCACATAGGATGGTCCCTGTGGGGGCAGGGGGGAGACACCCAGTTCCACAAATGGGAGGGCGCTCAGCTGAGCCTCCTTCCTCATCTGGCACGTGGAGCAGCACCTCCAGGGTTAGACGTGATGCCCCACCCTCTCTGAAGAGGGAGCCTCAAGAGACTGCCACAAGCGCTTGGTTGCATTGGTTTTCTTTTAAATCATATGTACAAAGCAGCCCGGCTCCCACCCCCGATACCAATTAAATAATCCTCAGCGGCCACTGCCACTCGATAAAATATCTGTCAATAAATAGACATCAGAGAAAGCTCCCGGAAGGGTCAGGGGCTGGGTCACACGGCCAGGGCGGGCCCCAGGGAGCGCTCCTCCGGGGAAGGCAGCTCACACACTCTCTCCGGGGCCTGCTCCGGTCCAGACGACGGAGCGTTTGTACGGAACGGGGGAGCTGCGGCTGCCCTGCAGCTCTCGTGGGGCGGGGAGGGCTCCAGAGACAAGGTGGCTACTTTCCCCGTCTCCGTCTTGCTCGGGGCCATGGCTCTGCTGCACGGCACCAGCGAGGCCACGGGGACGGAGAAGACGCTCAGATCCTTCTCATTCGTGTAAGGAGAGGGCATCTCCGACTCCTCCGTGCCACTCTCGCCCTTCACCCCCAGCATGGACCTTTGGTCCACCTGGTAGTACACCACCGGCCCATTGTTCAAGTAGGACTGGTCACCCACAGCCGAGGCTGCCTGCTCGGTGCTGTCTGCGAAGCACAGGACAGACGAGCCCGGAGGGAGCTGGGCTTGAATGAGGATAGGCGTGGGTAGGCCTGGGCACAGCCCCTCAGGCACGGCCAGAGGCTCCTCAAGGATGCACACTCCTAAGCTCTCTATGTTGGCGCCACTGGAGTCTTCCTCAGCCTTCAGCCTCTCCAGCTCCTCCGCCGTCTGCAGGTGCATGACGGCTGTCTCGTTCTCCGCCATGAACTCCTGGAAGTCTTGCGTCTCCGAGGGCTGCGTTCCCAGCCAGTCGTTGCCGGAGCCGTGGAGAGACTCCTCCTCCAGGGCCTGGGGCCGGCTCACCTGCCGCTTGTTCTCCAGCTCCAGCTTCATGATGGTGTGGAGATAGTGAGTCCGCACCCGGATGGGATTAAATTCTATTCGCCCGGCCATGTTCCCGCAGCCGTCCCTGGAGCAGCCACATGGGAAGGACATGCGATCCACCTGGGAGTAAAGGGAAGGGCAGTGAGACGGTAGCTAACAGGGGATATGGCCTGGCATGAGCACCTCTCTGGGCTCAGACCTCAGCTAAAGGAAACATGCACAGGGTTGTGTCTGCCACCGCACTACAACAAACCATTAACTAGTCCACAAGTGCAGCCCCCGCCCCCCGTTAACCCTGCCAGAACCCCTGAGGCTAATGCCTGGTCCTTCCCGGAGCTCCACATCCCCAGCCAAACCTGGGGAGTGCGAGGTGACCCTGCAGCATCTGCCTGCCTCTTCCCACCTGAGCACGTGGCTAAGTGGGGCTGGCAGGTGACGGGGGGGGGGGGGGTGAGGGCACATTGCTGTGGCTCAGACAAGGGAGGGATCAGTGGACAATGGCCAGCAGATGCACTGCTCCCCCTGCACCCAGCCAAGGACAGTGTGGCTAGCCAGGAACCCTCACCCCCGGGTGTCTCACCATCATGGGAACAACCAGGGATTCAAATGGCCAGCGAGCAGGAGGGGCTGGGCCACCCTAACAGCAGGTCTGGCCCTTTACTCGTGAGAATACAGGGATATATTCAGGGGATCCCTGCTTTGATGCAAGGACCCCGGGTGTTTGGCGGGGATGGGGGGGACCGGGAGGTCCCTCCCCTCTTACTTCCTGTCCCCATTTCTGACCCTTAAAACCCAAACTGCCCACCCCACCCCGGCTGCTTTGGTTCCCCCTCTATCCAGGAGATGCCATCGGTGTGCTCCATGAGTCAGCCAGCAGGGGGAGCCAGTGCAGTTCCTGCCACACACTTGGCAGTCTCTGGTCCCAAGCCCAGATCTCAACCCGACAAACACCATCAGGATCGGATTCCTGGCTCTTTGCAGCCACCATCTCGGTCAGACTGAACAGGGGGTTCATCTCCATGGGCGGGGGCGGCAGGGAAGGGAAAGGAAGGGAAGGGACGACACCCCAGCTAACGGGGACGTTTCTTTCCACCTCACCAGAGTAGGGATTTGACGTGTTATTCCTCTAAGGTCCCCAGAGCCCTTTCCAGGGCAGGGAGAGGCTCAGCACAGGCCAACGCTGCAGACCTAAGAGCTCCCCCACAGCCTGGGATGCCTCCGATTTGCAAGAAGGGGCTGTTACCGCCTTCAATTTGGGCGCTGCCCTGCACAGCAGCCCCTGGAACCAGGCAGATGCAGGTCTTCTCTGAAGGGTAGCTCCCATCCTCCCCCATCCTGCCCTGCAAGCTCAGCACTGGGGATAAGCCAGAGACCTGGCACAGAAATTGAACCCACAGCCTTTGAGCCTAGAGACCAGCTCCGACGCAATCCAGCCCGGATCAGGCCAGACCCTGGTGCTACCTAGAGCTGCCCCAACTGACCTGGCATTTAATTCCAGCTTGGCTGCAAGCGCAGGCTTCGGGATCGCAGTACAGGCGGCAGTCGCAGCCGCATTCCTCTCGCGACAGGCGGATGGCGCGCAGTTCCTGCTTCTCCTCAGCATCGATGCGGTGAACCCCGGAGGCTCGGAGCAGGGCTCGGCGCCGCTTGGTGGGCAGGGGCTGCAGAAAGAAATAGTCGTCCACTTCCACGTTCTCCACATCAATGTCGTCGTCTGACACGTCCTCCAGGGTCAGGCCGTCCGCCTCCTCCGACTCCACTGTGCCGTTCTTGGTCAGCTGGGGAGACACGGGCAGAGTTAGTCCTTGGCTTGGGCCCTGGCGCTCTGCGCCAGCACACGCCTGGTGAGACACCCACTAGCATTAGCTCTTGGAGAAGCGATCTGCCGGGAAAGGGGAGACTCAGTACCACGCACTTAGGGACCTTCAACGGCAGCAGCAGATGCTGAGAAAGATCTTTCCTCCCAATTTTCCCCTGCATGGCATCATCTGACTCAGTCACCTACTGCCTCGTTCCCACCCACCCACGCAGAGGCCTCACGTACCGCTGGGCCTGCACCCCCTTCGCCCAAGGTCATTGCAGCCAAAATGTCATTTCACTCAGCCGTCCAACACAACAGGAGCACAAGGCAGCGGACTCAGCCCTGCACATGACCTCAGCGTCACAGGGGGATCTGAGCGATCAGTCAGCACAAACAAACAAGCTGCCGCCCAAGTGGATTCTCCACCAGACCCCAGGTTTTCCCCTCCTCAGCCCCTTGCTAGGCCAGGCCAGCTTTCAACCCTTCAGCTTGCGATAGCCTGCAGGGCATCCTCTGCGCTGACCCACCAGAGATGTGCTGGGGAAGGAATGTGTGCTCAGGTCAGAGGAGACGGCTGCCCTTCCCCACCCTCTGCAAATGGGGAGATAAAAGGAGGCCGCCGTGTCTTAAAATATCTGGCCCCTCAGGAGAGGAGCAGAGTGGAGCAGCAGCAGCACCCCCATGGGCCGGATGCAGCATACATGGCAACGTCCGTTTGAGAACAGGCCCATCAAGTGTCTCCCAGCTTGCTGTGGTTGAAAAGCAGCGAAGGTGCCAAGCCTCGGCACCCAGGAGCCTCAAGGAATATCAATGCGTGTGGCTTCAACAGTGCAACCGACTTACAGATACGGCTCCTGGGCTGACAGGGGCCCCATCCCTCCATCCACACACCAGGCCTGCCCCCCAGAGCAGCTGAACAAAATCTGAACCCTCTGCCCCCAATCCTCTTCCATTACAGAAATGAAGGCTGTTCCCTGATCGGGCTGACAGGAACACAGAGCTGAGTAGTGGCTTCTCTTTCATTCCCTCTGCTCCCCAAACCCTTGGAAACCGACAGTACAGTGTGTTTACACGGCCAGGGCTTTTTCCCTCCCCATTTCTATTTTAAATGCAGAGACTCAGGGTTCCTAACGCAGGCACGATGGAGAAGCTGCTGCTGGAATACGTGACAATACGCTAGAGGCTGCTGCCTTCGTCAGACAAGCCACAGGTTTGCAGAGGCAGAAGGGAAATTCCTGAGAGAGACGTGATGCAATAACTCCAGCTTAATAACGCTCATTTCAGGAGCCATGGAGGTCAGAGCGACTCCACCTTCATCCTCTGCAATCCAGGAGGTTCCCCGCAACAGATGGCAATTCTATAGCCCTGCTTGCCAGTGGGGAAGTACTGATGGCTCACGCCAGGCCCCCAGGATCACAGTCCTTTTTCCTGGGACAGGAGCTGCGCTGGGGCAAGGGAGAGGGGTCTGGTTCAAGTCCACTGGCTTCCTGCTCACGACTGCGTTGGCTGCAGGTGCTTCGCAGACCCCAGCTCATCATCTGCCCCGTCTCTCTGCACCCGTTTGTCTGCCCCACATAACCCACCCTGCAGCCACACGCCCCAGCAGGGGAAAAGCCCTAGTTTGAGGTGTGCACTTTAAAGGCTGGATGGATGTGTGTCGGTTTGCCAAGCAGGTTGCCATGGCAGCAAGAGGCTGATTTGAAGGGCTAGCTTTGCAGACAGACATGTCCGTTCAGTAAGGGAAGTCCAGTCTCTAGGGAACCCCCCTTCCCCCCGGGCACAGGCCAGGTACTCACCCATTGGGAATAGCATGCCCCACTGATTGAGTCTTCTTTGTGCCTCAGCTCTAGAAACTGGATGGAAATTGGGCAAGTTTGCAGAAAACCTAGTGCCAGGCTGAGAGCAGGGGCGGCTCTATGCTTTTTGCCGCCCCAAGCATGGCGGCCATCGGCAGCACGCCTGCGGGCGGTTCGCTGGTCACGCGGATTCGGCGGTGTTTCTGCGGGTGATCCGCCAGTCCCGCGCCTTCGGCGTACCCGCCACCGAAGCCGCGGGACTGGCGGACCTCCTGCAGGCATGACTGGGTCCCAATCCCTCCAGAACTCGCGGTCACAGATCCACCCCCCCATCCCCTGCAGGACAGTTGCATTCCAAGAAGGGGCGAATAGCCATGTCCGATCTGCCTTCTCCATGCCAATAGCGACGGAGGAACGCAGGGTCATGCCTGGTCTGGAGAAAGGCAACCAGGCGCCTCTGTCCGCCCGCTCTTGGAACGCGAGGACAAGAGACATTCAGCGACGGCGGAAGATAGCACACTTTAAAATGAGGTCAAAAGAAATCCTGTTCACACCACACGCAGCCGGTGGAACGCCTTTCCATTGACACCAAGAGCTCAAACAGGATTGAAACAAGGACTGCATATTTACAGTGAGGAATATCCAGAGTTAGAAGAGTAAATATTGAAAAGATCTCTGCCCTCCTGCTTCAGGATTAAGTCAAACCCTCCTGCTACCGGGGTGGGGGACGGGTTAGGAAGACACTTCCTCTGGGGGCTGCTTATCACATGCCTGCCCAGCTGCTGGGTTTCATGCCCCATCCTTCGAAGCAGCTGCTATTGGCCAGACAGAGGATCCTGGACTGGGGATTCCCACAGCAGTCACTGAGCTCTTATGCGCCTTTACCCGCTCCCCCCTCTTTGTCAGTGATACCTTCATTTTCTTGGCGTGGAGTTTCTCCTCCTTGAGGTGTTCCCGGAGGATCTCCCGATGATTCACCTCCTGCTCCTGGGCGAACTCGCACAGCGTGTACCTGCGGACGGAGTTGTGGCGCTGGGCCATGCCCAGGGAACTGCCCCCTTGGCTGGGCACACTGGTGAAGCCCTGGCGCCGGGCAAAATAGTACACGGTCACCTGGTCAAAACGCACATTCTTCCTGCGCAGCTGCTTCTGCCTCTTCAGGATGGACGTGGCTGAGAGCAGAGAGAAGGGAGCATTAGACACAGGGCGAGAAAACGGGATTCTGGATGGACCCTACTCATGCCACGACCGCCCCCGCAGCTCTTCCACGACACAGCAGAAGCATGGACCCTGGTGGGTTTGCTCCGAACTGCTGCTGTTGATGCACAGGCGCCTGAAAAGGCCGATCAGCTGATTTGAGGTACAAAGATGGGAGGAAGAGGGACAAGCAGGATGTTTGCCTCCATCAGGACTGGCAGCCAACTTCCAGAGCAGCCCATACCCTGGACCTCACTGAGGAGGAATTCATGCGTGGAAATGCCTTCCCCTCCCCTAGGGCTTTGCAAGAGTTACATTCAGAGGACCCTATTTGGGAAGTGGGGGAAGGGAGGCCAGTCCCAGGGAGACGGACGCTCTCTCTGGCTGTAAATGTCTGATAGGGTTAGAGGAACCGTGTGAAGGGGAGAAATCACATTTCCAGCTGAAGATTTCTGGCAAGTAAGCCCTAAAATTCCTTTCACTGGAAACACTCATTCACTCGTGCTCATCTTTATCAGTTTATTTACTTCGGCCACAGTCAAAACCACCGGTTTTTTTTGACAGCCTGTCCCCCTTCTCTGACACCACAAGGGGTTTACCATTGGGAACAGGAGCAGCAAGGCTGAAACTGAAGAGGCAGCAGATGTGCAGAGAGAAGGGAGAAGGCAGGAGAGCCGAGCCCGAACAGGTTTGATGGCTTGGCTTTTGGGCCCCCTCCAGGAGATCTTTCCAAAAGGGGAATAGAAAAATCCCTTCCACGTTTTTCTTTAAAATCAAATCTTTTTAATAGTAATAATAATACAGGGCAAGCGATTTTCTAATCCAAAATATATATTTTTTAAAAGTTAGTGGATTTAAAATAAGCTAAGTTGATAGTGGTTTCTTGAAAGGGATGGTAAATTTGGGGCTAGAGGGGAATTACAAATTTCTAATTCCTCTGATCCTTCCTGACCATTGACAATACTCCTAGCATCATCACTTTCCTCTGGAGCACTGAGCAGGGAGCATCTTTTAGGGTCAGGTGGCTGTATCATACATGCCTGAATTAATCCACTGTTGCGGGAGGGGCGGGAGCTTGGGCAGCGTAGGAGGGAATCGGACTTTCTCAGCTTGCATGCCGAATGTTAAAGCATCCCTAGAGATTCTCAGGAAAGAGAGTTCGTTTGCACAGGGAAATAAAATAAAAAAAAAAGCACCTCAACTGTGCTCTTGGGTTGGAGACCGTTTGTCATGCAATCCATGCCTGCCACCCACCCCTCATTTGCAGTCCAATGTCAGGCAAGGTCATCTAACTGAACCAAATGTGAGACGATGGAAGGGCAAAGACCAAATCTGTCCAGAGGGAACCCATTTGACTATGTTTTCAGCCCACAAAGCATGGACACCAGCATTCCCCTGGGCGTGATTTGCACTTGTCTCATGCTAGTGAGACCAAACTGTGTGATGTGAAACGAGCCAGATGCTGGGTCCACCAGCGAGGTCAGACAAACGAAACACCACAGAGCGGCTCTGCAAACCGCACCCCCCTCCCCCATCCACCGGCTCAGCCACTCACGTATGAAGCCCATGGTGCTTGGGGGGTTGAGGCTATCGCAGCTGTCGGCGCTGTCGCTGTTGGAGATCTCATCGTCCGAGTTGGAGACGGGCGAGCCCACATCCACATCTTCAAACTTCCTCTTGAGGCTGCCACTGGCGATTGCATCCATTTGTCTCTGGCTCGCATGGAGAGCCAAAGAGCATAAAAAAGGAGACGTCAGCTGCAAGAACTCCGACACCAGCCCCAGGGCTATTGTGGAGGCTCAGCGGGCACCTGGGGATAAACAGGGAGCACGGGGGAGAGAAAGTCAGCAATCCACCAGCACCAAGCCAAGCTTTTCTAGTCTGTATTGCTACAGCCCCTGAGCTTACACCGATGCATCTACAGGCCCCCCATCTCCACAGCATGCACTGCTGCAATGCCTGCCAAATGCCTTCTTGGAAAGGGGCTACTGGGCTGAGTTCCTAGCAGTTGCTCTTCCAAGTTAGGGCATCAAGACCCCCCAAAACTTCTTGTGATAAGCACCAGTAACATCACACTGCTTGAAAAGCAGCAGAGTGGCAAACCCTTAGTGCTACAGTGACGTTTATGCATTAAATAAGCCAACACGAGGCAATAGAAAAGGCTACAGAGAACTCTGTGCCAGGACTCCAGCAAACTCTGCTGCTCACAGGTACCATCGACACACCACTTGTTCTTGACCTGAGAGGGAGGACTAGACTAAAGCTCATACAGAGGTGTCATGACAGAACCATGGGAGGGTTGAATGCCTCCTTTGCTATAGACTTGCCAAGATAGAAGTCCTGCATGGAGTTGAAGTTATTTACGCTTTTAGATGCCAGCTGGGTTTCCTATTCCTCAACATGTTACGTCAGACACATGGTCTGACACACTCAGCTGACTGGGAGAAAAGTCTGTTCCTGCCTTGTGTGTAGCATATGGTCACAAAACCACGAAAGGAAGTTGGACAGGAAGCCTAAATCAAACAGGTTTTATACTTAGAATCAGCTGGACCTAAGCCACTGGGGTGATGGTGGCCAAATTAGCACAGAGGAACCATATCAAGAATGGTTCAGAAGAGACTTCTATTGAGACTTCCACATATTGCAGCACTAACCCACCCATCACTGGATCACTTGATGATTATCAGTGATGTTCATTCCCTCTGGAGCACCTGGCATTGACCACTGTCGGAAGACAGGATATTGGGCTAGATGGACCATTGGTCTGATCCAATGTGGTCCATATGATTCTTATGTTCCTATCAGCTTTAGGATTACTCAGTTTCTGCATTGACTGTCACAGAGAGGAGGGACCTGTCACCTAGCTTTTACATAACAGCTACTAATATGCTAGAGTGTGAATAATGTTTACCACATATGGGGGAATACAAGCTATAAAGACTTAAAGGGATTCCATAGAAGAGGTCACAGGATCAGCAAACCCTGCCCAGGTATTCTTCCTATTCTTATCTAACCATCTCGGTCTATTCTGCTCTGCAACTATGGGAGAATCTCACTCTTAAAACAAGGCCTAGGGGCAGATTGTAAGCGTGAAGCTAACACAAAAATGGAGCTTTACATGAGTCCCACAGTAGAAAGACATATGGCAAAGGCATAGAACTAGGTAAGTTCATGGAGGATAGGTCCATCAATGGCTATTAGCCAGGATGAACAGGGATGGTGTCCTTAGCCTCTGTTTGCCATAAGCTGGGAATGGGCAACAGAGGATGAATCACTTGATTACCTGTTCTGTTCATTCCCTCTGGGGCACCTGGCATTGGCCACTATCGGAAAATAGGATACTGGGCTAGATCGACCTTTGGTCTGACCCAGTATGGCCGTTATGTTCATATGGCACATGTTTAGCTGAATATCAAGCTCACAGATAAGAGTAGATGCCTGTAGCTTCCACAAATACAACAGGGCCCCTATTTTACTAAATAATTGGGGATTGAGTTCATGGAATTGGACATGTCAAAATTACAGTAGGTTTAGTGCACAAGCTGCCGTCTGGTGCACTGCATGGTTTTCTTCTTGTCCTTCAAACCATTGCAAAGCAATGTCCAAGGCACTGAAGGCACTGGGATGTGAAGGGATGTCGACTTGTTCTTCATGGACATCCCTTTCATTATGTGATTTTTTCCCCCCATTGGGAAAAACGGTTCATATAACTGGTTGTATAAAAGATTGGTGTTCAAAAAAAATCAATCGAGATTCTACTATACCCAAGAACACAATTCCCAGCATCACATCATGAGACATGTAATAACTTACTGCAATCTGAGTGACTCTTCTCAGGGTGTAAGGGTAAGAAAGTCACACCTATATGTAAGCTTAGATCAGTTTTCAAAGCTCTTTAAACTGGTGTAAATCCCTGCATAGACACTCTTATTTCAGTTTAAGAATGAGTGACTTATATTGGTTTAGTTTAAGCCAATTCCTAATTGACTTCAGCTAAATGAAAATAAGCCTGGCTGAAATCAAAATACATGAGTCCGCACAGCCATTTGTGCCAGTTTAACTAAACTGGTTTATAATCACTCCCTTTAAGGTAAAACACATTCAATTCTCTCAAGTAGACAAGGCCTTCTTTTAGAAGTGGTATCACAAGAAGCCGGGGGCTCCTATACACAAAAGCAGCCATGGAGTATATCAAGTTCTCGTTTTAGGATCCAGTGAGAAGACAAGTGTAACAGGTCACAGGTTTATAGGGTATTTGCTAATAACACTAGGACTGAGTTGAACGCAGAGGAAAAAGTAGAAGCAGCTGCGTTGTTCTTGGCTTCAGCGGATTTCCACACTAAACGCAGAGCTGGGGACTGTTCTAGGAACAAACCACTAACTAGCCCTGCCTGTAATAGAGTGCTGCCTAAACTAATTCCAATCAGATCAGCTGCTCTATCTAAATCATACGAGTTGAAAGGAGTCTACGCGAAGCCTGGAAAGGCCACACACCCAGCCTCCTAACAAACTGGGCACTTCAGAAACTCAGTGGGGAGAAGAGACTGAATCAAAGCGGGTAGTTCTCTCCCCATCCCCACTTCAAGCAGAGAGACACATTCATTATAAAGCAATGTTCACTTGCTAAGTCAAGAAACAGCAGAGCGGTGTGAAACAGGCACCATTTCTCTTGTGCCTGATGTTTAGAGGCATGGGTCACCAAGATACAGATGATTTGGACCAGAATTACACTGATCTGCACCCTTCTTCTGAGGCAGATGGATACAGAATACCCCGGGGATACCTGGGGCCGCGGACAGTCTCCTCGGAGTGCCCTGCTAGATGGAAGAGAGAGTCTTTAAGCTTTTTAATAAGGCATCTCTGCCAGGGCCAAGAGAGAGACCCAGACATACACACCTTTGTCATCAGAGGTGCGGTCTGATGGGGAAGTGGTCTGAAGGGCAGGAGAACGAGAGAAGCCCAGCCAAATGCTGAGATCTCCTCCTCCGGGTCAGGTTGGAGTTTATAGAAAGTGCCATTCAAACCATAACACAACTCTATCAGAACAAGCCAAGAAGAGCGATCCTACGCCCAGACCATTGCATGTGTTCAGGATAGTTTTTAAAACTCATTTATTCTGAAGCAGGGCTGGGTTCCAGGCCGCATCCCTGGTGGTTGGGATCCTGAGCCCAACACCCACCCACCCAGCCTTCCCCCTCCCCTCAGTCTCCTCTGCACTTGTCTATTCCCTTCAATAAGCTAGCAACTGTTGCCATGACAACAAGTTGAACAAATGGGTTTTGAAAAACATGTCAGCCGACTGCGTGTATCAGGAGAGGCGAGAGGCTCCTGACTGCAGGACGGAGCTTCCTGGGGGAATCAAACGATTCCACGCTCGATTCCTTCAAACAAAACGGGGAGCAGCCCCACCCCTTCGCCTCCAGCTTCGGAGTCTTCACTGTTCAGTGCAGGGAAAAGTGCACGGATTCGCTCCAGGGTTCTGGGGGCCTCCAACCTCTTCAAACATCAAGAGGAAATGAGACTGCTCCTCCTGCCCCAAAAACAAGCGGAGTAAAAACCTGCGATTCTCGTACAGCTGACACAGCAGAAAAGGAGAAGCGATGACGTCAACGAGCGCTTTGCAAGTATCGAATTACTCCCGGGAGGCTGCGCAGTAGCATCCTCAGGTTTGCCTATAAGCAGAGTTACACCAGTGGAAGAGGTGGAATGTTAAACTGATTTAGTTAACCCAGTGCCAAAGGCTACTGGGATGCTCTTACTTTGAGTTAAACCAAGTTTGTTTCATTTTAGTTTAAATTGATTAGGAACCGGTTTAAGTTAAACTGAAATAAGCCCCTCTTCAACCAAAAAAATCAGTGTCTACACAAGGGTTTGCACGGATTTAACTGGACTGAGGTCCAGATGCTTTCAATGGACTACTGAATCCCTCCAAATTGCTGCTGCTGCCAAAGGCATCCTGCTCACTTGTGTGACCAGAATACCACCTCTCCCCTTGGAGAGGCTCCACCTGCTCCCCTTTGCACTGCACATCCCATTCACAGGGTCTGCCTTTGCCTCCCAGGCTCTGCGTCTCAAAGCTCCTGCCTACATCTGACCTGATCTTCTTTCACATTCCCACCTCCCTTCTCAATGCCAACGGCGCCTGCCTCAATACCCCTGTCGTCATCTTCTCACCAACACATCTTGGTCCCCTTCAAGCCACCTCCGTCTCAGTCAAGTCCCTCCCAAAATCTTACTCCTGCCATCTTGCCTATTGAGATACAATGTATATGGATAACAAGAATGTCCAGTGTTCTCTTACTTAATATGACAACAAAAATGTTGGAAGGGATATTAAGTCTCATGCTTCAGGGCTTGAGCCAATCTCGATTAGAGATCAGGATGAGATGTCAGATGGGGTATGGGGGTGTGAGTGTGAGAGAAAGAGTGTGTGTGGGAGGGAGGGGGGGCAGATTATCCCACATCTGGCAGTATTTATGCCTTCCTCTGAAAATTATGGCCCTGGTCACTGCTGGCAGACAGAACACTGACCTAGATAGACCTTGGGTGCGATCCAATATGGTAAATGCAGACTGAAAAATGGGATGGCACCAAACAGCATGCTAGTGCCACAATTTTTGGGGGTGGGGTGGGGGGGCGTTAAATGGCAAGGAAAGGAAAGTGAATGAAGAGGGGACATTGAAAGGAAGGGGAATGAGGGGAACAGGGCGAGGAGAAGATGGTAAGAGAGAGGTGGAGAGACTGATGCGGGGGACGACAGAGACGGTTGGAGCAAAGAGCCAAATCAGCAAAGGGAAGTCAAGTCAAAACCATAATGTGGTGTTTGAAGGCGGGTTTTACAGCGATGTGTATGTGTGTGTACACATACACCCCCCCCCCCCCCGCAAGAAACAAGCTCCCCTCTACAGTAAAGTCCATCTCCCACCTCATTGTGATACTGAGGTGTTTCCAGAAGAAATCTCTGGCTAATGGGGCTCTGGCAATCATATTCCCACCCGAAGTTGCAGAAGAGGGTTCAGAAACAAGATG